AAAAGTAAAGCAGCTGCTGAATAACATAATAGTAATGAAGAATTTCACATAAGCAGCAATTAAGTTGAGAGCACGTTATGCAAATTCAAGCAGTAAAGCAAGCAGTTCATAAATCTAAGGAGAAAAAGTGTAGGAAACAAATATATAATGCACAAAATATACAATGAGTTGTAGCGTTTTGTGTCTTTCCGCGACACCTGAGGGCGCCACCTGACAATACGCAGTAACTAACAGTTTACCCTACGTATGGTGCAGTGCAACACGGTGGATAGTGACAACGAGAGATACAAGATAAATACTCTTACCTTGTACGTCGTATCGTCGCCACCCGGTCTCCACTCCCTCACGAGCGCCTCGGTGCTACTGCGCTCCCTCCTCCGGACCCAGCGTTCGTTCCGGTTTCGGTGCGGTTAGTCAACAATGCCAGACGACGGACGTCACAGGACAGACAGTGACACAACACAACACGGCGCACCTTATGACGCGGGGCTACTCGGGAAATATTACTTTAACGTGTAGGGGAGGGCTAGGCAGCCGGCTGACGGGACACCCGTACGGCCACTCACACAAGGGGCGCACTCAACGCCCAATGCGCCTAAGGCTGCTACTCGAGGGGGGCTATTAAATATGTCTATTGATGTCTATTAAATCACTATTACAACTGCTATTGCCATTACCGTTACTGTTATTATTGATATTACTATTATTATTACTCAGCCCCGACGGTGTGCCGAAAGAACAGCCCATTGTACTCACTCTCTCTCGTCTCCAGTCCTCACCGCTTCGCACCAAAACAGCCGCTCGCACGCTATGCGCTCGACTCTTCTTTCTAACTCCTCTCAACTATATCACACCTCTTTCCCGCTCGCACACTCAACCACAACAACAACGCTACCCCACGCTGTGTTTTTTCACACGGCACTCGCCGCGCCAGCTGTTTTCCTACGCTAGCCCCGCTCTCGGGCGCTATAGAGGGGGTTACAATTGCGACTAATGGCAGGCCCCATAGAATCCGGCAATGAGTGAGTAATTGCTGCAATACGCTTACAAAACGCACATGAAACACAGAAAGACATTACAAACAGAACCGATTACAAACACAACATTTACTCCCCCCCCCTCCTCCAGGGGCAAGCTCAACCCCGGCGAGCACAGGGCTCGCGGCAACCGGTACCACCGCCACAGAATATAGAATGAGCAAGAAGATACTGTACAATTTAAGGATTATGCAAGATCATCAAGTTAAAACATCAACAACTCAACATAAATTGATCAAATTACTAACAACAAAACAACAGCAGGAACGAAGCAAGGTTGCGTAGAACAAAACAAAACAAAATATTTTTTCACATAAGTAAGCATAGCGAAATTATCAGAGTAGATGCATTATTATTATAGCCATGAGTTATTCATTTATTATCATTATTACAATGAATGAGGTGCACGTTTCTGACGTTTGGGTAGAACGCCCCTATTTAATTCTGTCTTTCTATGCTTTGAGAGATTAGCTTCTTTTACTGGACGGCCAGTTATCAAAGCCCTCCTTCCTCCGAGTGCTGCCTTTCGCCTTGCGACAGCAGTTGGTTGCACACCTATCTTGGATGAGGTCTGTAAGTACTTTTTTGATTTGCATATACGCTGGGCA